CTTCTCACTGTGCCGATACAACAGAGATCCAAAAAACGAAAAAAAAGTTTACTTGTAATCATGAAAATAAATGATCAGGAACGTTGTTAGATATAACGCAATAGATTTTCTTCCAAGTATTCAGTCCTGTGTTTTATTCTATGCAATTAACCATCGTGCTTAGCACTAGAGAATGTAAATAAATGTATTACATTTTTAAGGGCAGCCGCTCACTGCAGGCAGTATGAAGACAGCATATTAATGCTATATTACTATGATCATTACTGTTACCGTTAAATCCCATTATACTTTGGTAACTGATGACTACTTTACATGTTGGTTAATCTAAGTGCCTAAATTCACATTGATGAACATTCCTATTTTAGTTCTTAATTTAGTTGTCCCCAGTCACCAAGTATATAGATAACAGTCAAGCAATAGTTCTCCTTAAAATAAATTTGAAATATAGAAGTAGTCGTAAAACTGAATATATTGGTTCCGAATTCACAAAAAGTAGATAGCTTTCATTACTAAAGTTACTAAAATACAATCTGAGGAATTCGCATCTAGTCACTCTATTACTCCATTCTTTCCCAAAGCGACAAAGCATCGTGGAGTTTAAAGCTCTCAAAATCAAACAGGTTTCGATGTACTTGGGTCAATATAAATCATTTAATCCAGACTGTATTTAAACTAGATTCCTAAATGAATGTTCAGATCAAATTTACTTCTCTTTTCCTACTCACTAAAAGTGTTTCTTATCGAAGGCAGATTAACCTCTGACGTAGTTATACGTAGTCTTCTCAATGCATCAAGGAGTTACTAAGGTGGATAATTCTAATTACCACCAACGTTTTTGCTCTCCTCAACAATGAAAACCGTTGAAAGTTCCTTCCTAACATTGTGCTTGCTGAAACAGATTTTCACTGGTGACTACATTCTTTGTCATAATTCGGAACAGCTGATGAAGTAGCTTTAAAACTGCTGAAGGAGGACATGACAAGCCTTCTGAGTATGTTCTGGTTTGTTTGCTTAGAGAACAATGGCAAGCGGAATGCTATGAACGGCGCTCTTTCTGCCGATTATTCACAAACTATTCCGTACCGTAGACTCTCAAACTATGTTATTCTCAGATTATTTTGTGATTTGTGGGGAAATAATCAATTCATTTGATGTATTGACTTTCCAGGAAGTCTTGTATAGGACATAAGACTGGGTCATCGTAAATGTTCGCATTTTGGATACCACAGGATTTTGAAAGCTGTTAGGGTAAAGTAACGTTACTCTATCCCTCTAGTACTTTATGGATAATTTCAGAACCATACGATCTAGGACATATGGAGTGCCATTTGAGGTACGTTAGTTATCTTCCCATATTGGGATACTGTGGCCAAGGAATCATACCAATATTTGGTGTTTCTTCCCTGAATTCTAAGAAGCCCAACTTGGTGGCTATGCAAAACTGTTCTTAGAGTTAGTTCAAGATCATTCGGAAAGCACATAAATTTGAAGAATGTTCTAAATCCCCTCAGAAGGACACCATTCTCTTAGAATGTCCACAAAGAGGGGCAAATTAACAGGCGTCACCTTTTCATATGAATCAAACCCATCTTGCCTGGAACTTCCGAATTATAGATACGCGCAGTGCAGGTGGGTAGAGGGTTATGCTATTGATACACCATATGTTTAATAATCCTCTTCAAATTGACAGATGCCTAAAATGTTTCGAAACAAAATTACACTCAAGAAGACATCTAGTTTAGATAGAACAAGGACGAACTCATATATGAATAAAACTTTTCATGGTCAGGAAAGGTAAACTGTGAAACTCCTAAGCACAAGCTGTATTATTTACTTCTCCAAAAGTTCTCAAAAAAGCCTCAACAATAACTTAATCTCCGTAGGTTTTATGTGTTATAATATCACGTCTAGTTTATATTAGCTCGTGAAAAATATATTGGATATTGGATAGTCACAAAGATATTGGACAGTGAATTTTGTCACGGTAGGTCATCACACTATAAAGGTCAAGTAAACTTGACTCTAACAGTCGAAGGTTATCACCAAGTCTCAGTTGGAACTAGATAATTACAGGTAATAACATCTGGTAACATTTGTTGCTTTTTGCTCAGCTGATCCATCTATTCACCTCAGTATTTTTGGTTGCATTTCTATTGCTAGGACACGTGCCTTGGTACTTGCGATTCTCTCACACTTCTAACTTTGCGGTAATTCTATCGATTTTGAGGAGCTCCATTAGAAACGATTTAAGGAATGCAACTGCAAACCCCAAATTTATCCTTGACCACGGGTTTGTCCCCGGAATTTCAAGCTGTTTATAGGAAATCCCTAAAATGTCTGTAGAAGTGTTAGGTTCAATGAATTTATTCGGAATTCCCATTAACTTTAGATATTTCCCAAGTTTTTGAAAAGCTCTCTAGAATTTTCCTCTTTATACAAACCTCTTTCCCTTCTGTTTGCCGTTTATTTTGCAAACGTATCGCAATTCTAAAACTATTGTGCCATTTTTCTCCACAGAAATGTGATCGCTGTTGCACACCTGTAAAATTGCAGTGACTAATGCAGCCTGAATGAGCTTTCCTCACGGTACTAAGCAAACGATTCTTATAAAACAATGCACTGAACATGGTTACAGTATTTTCACATCTATCTAGTCGACGCTCATTTTGCGATGACGGTCGTAACGGTCGTAAACTAAAACTAATTGGCTGTAAAGGTGATAGCTATTTGAAATTTCGGCAATTTGTTAACGTAGTATAAGAATAGCAATAGACCCAGAAAAACATCATGTGACATATCGCTTAACGGGCCTATACACAAATAGCACTTTCTGTACTTTCACTGTGTTTTCTGCCGCAAAAACCACCTAAACTTGAGTTGTATTTTGTATTAAGAAGTTGGGAAGATTCTGCACAGGTCCCGAGTGAGACATTTAATAACTCGTTAAAATATGCGAGTATCACATCAATAGGCAGTCCACTATTTTAAGTCGCTGTGCAGTCTTCTCTTGAAATGAGTATGTTAGACAAGATCATCTATCACCAAAAGCGTTTGCTCTAGATTCAGTGTGATTCTACGTGAGTTTATTCACTATGATAGCTAGATATGAGCTTCCCTTTTTCATTCTTAGGACTAAATCTAACAATAACGCTCTCTCAGTGGTTGATTCTGGCAAAGTGATATGTCGATTAACTCTGTTGATAGTTCTGAGATAATATCAATGATGAATAATAATAATAATGGAGGTTGTGACTCATCAGTACCTTATGACTTACGTAGTTTGAGCTAATAAGTAATGAAGAAGCTGCTCTCTGAGTCAAACACCGGTTCCATGGTTGGAGCCTAAGATTGTGAAATGTTAGCATTAATGTTCTTCGGGTAAATCACTCTGAATTACTTTGACGAACTTTAAGCTTAGATCGCTCCTGACTGCGGTGGTGACTTAATTTGTCAAATAACTGTAGAAAAGAAATCTACCACTGTCTAATTCTCCTCTATTTTCAGAAAACAGTCATTTTAGGCATGTATAGCTGTTATGTGCTAACTGCTTTTCATCAATTAGTGGGAGACAACGGTAAAACACAAATTCTAATCACATTCAGTAATGAGTTTAAGTCTAACATTTAGTTTGGTTTATTGTCTCTTTCATTTATAAATAGCTCAGTCTTGTTCATGTAAAAGAATTTACTGAATTATAGTAACTTCTCAAGCAACAACTAGTAATAAGGATCAGTGTCTGCTGGTTTTCGTAAAACATTTCCCTCACTAGACTTTAACCGAAAAATGTATTACTCACTGTTGGTATGAAACATAATTTGAAATACTATACGCTTTTTAATCGATAAATTTTTCCCTTTCAGGTTTTATACTGCTCTATTTTCATCCGAAACCCTCATTATGTCTTCATTACCTGAAGGTTGGATATCTCGGATCAGTTCTAGTAGTGGTTTGTTCCTAGTTTCTCTGTATAACTAAACAAATGATTTTTCAAGGAAAACCATATTATGTAAATACAGTTACAAATGAATCACAATGGGAATTTCCTCAGCATCCAGCTGTATCATCCACAGATAAAGTTCGATGCTTACATTTACTAGTCAAGCATAATGAATCTCGACGTCCATCGTCATGGAAACAACAGAATATCACTCGATCTAAGGACGAAGCCTTAAATTTAATAAAAAGTAAGCTTATCACTACTTTTTACACACAAAATTAGACTAATTGACTTCATAATATTCTTTCCAGCTTGATATGTGTTACATTTAAACACGATAATTATATATTGAACATCGAATTAAATGTTTATCGAGAACCTTACGAGTCTGTAGAAAAGCTTATAGTGTCTTCAGGTGAGCATGAACATGTAGGCTAGTGGTGATAAAATGAATATTTTTAATCTGACAATAGTTCGTTAAAAGTGACGTGTGGCCCCCTAAGGAAACCACCCTCTTCGACATGGTCGTTCAAGCCACATCCCAGTCCACTCACAAATTCAGTAATTTGTGTAGCGTATTAATATTTAGGTTCCCCTCTGTAACAACGTTTATGTGCTTAAATAAAAATAATAATGAAAGTTAAAAGCGTTTATAGGTAACCAATGTATGGCAAAAACAGGAGTGAAACAATGTTGAATATTAAACCGGATTCTTAGGGTTAGATTCCCAACCGTAGCTGCTACCTTGACGTGGTGGTCGGGTTTGCCTATCGTCATGACCCAACCAAGCTATATTTGCTGGAACATATGTTCCTGAAGGTTCTACCATGCCAGGTAGGTCGATTGGAGAACGATGAGACTAAAAGCAGCTACTGAAGGCGAAGTCGTACTGCTGACTGTAGAGGAGTGTGACAGCAGCAGTAAGGTGTTTCCCTCGGACAACCAGCATCTGCAGCGATGCTGCCTTCTCACAAGGAAGGAAGGTTTAGAGAAGGTCGACCTTAACAATGTCACACCTCACCCTACCTCACGGATTACCGTCTCCGTCGGTAAGGGTGCCCACTAGGGGCTTTTAAGAGCGGAGTTAATACACACAAAACCTTTTATTTTACGATTTTTTGTTGATTTCAATGTGTTAAAACACTCATCTCCACAACTCTAATTGAAAAAAAAAGAAAATATCGATTATCTGAAGAAAATTGGTGTTTCGCGTGCATCTCGAATTCATGTCACTCAATGGGAAAAATACTCCACAGAAATATTTGGCTCATGTCTGAACTAGTATTGTTGTAAGATTGGAATTTTTTTGCATTGATTGATTACAATTTAGCTTGTCTAGTTGTTATATAATGCTGCTATGTAGTAGCTATTCGAAATCCTACCGATTGACCAAATTCAGATATTCCAGTGCGACTCCCAAATACTACTGTTCCCAAATCTCCAATGTAGATCAGAACACCACACCGTGTCAGATGAAGTTGTCTATTGGGGTCGAGTACTGAATGAAGGGAACGAATGGAATAATAAGCTTTCACAGATATAATGCATATTTATACAGTTAGGTCGACCAATAGGAAACCACAATGAAGTCTGTGTGACATTGACAGAGCTAGGACGACCATAATATTGACCAATAGAATTAGACTTCCATTAGTAGTTCTCTTAGAATATATTTCATGAATATCCTAACACTAGTGATGTTCATATTTGTATTGTTCATATGTACACGGGGTGTTTCTTGCTTCCACCTTGTCATTTCTCTCTCTGTCTCTCTCTCCGTTTTTTTGTTGTAGAATACAAACAACAAATTGAATCAGGTGAATATACATTTGAAGAACTTGCCCGTATCGAAAGTGATTGTAGTTCAGCTCAATCTGGTGGTGATTTAAATTATTTTAGTCGTGGTCAAATGCAAAAACCATTTGAAGATGCTGCATTCATGTTGGGAATTGGTGAAATGTGTGGTCCAGTTTATACAGATTCAGGAATTCATTTAATCAAACGAATTGCATGATAAGAGAATTATTTTTAACAAATAAAAATAAAACAATCATGGGGCAATGATTATTGAATATAATGCGTTGAAATGCTTCATTCCTCCTCTGTTTTTTTTGTATTTCAATGAAATAAATAAAGTTATTACTAATTGTACTTACTTACGTACTTACTTACTTACTTAGCCTGTTACCTCCAATGGAGCATAGGCCGCCGACCAGTTTTCTCCAACCAACTCTGTCCTGGGCTTCTCTCTCCAGTTCTGTCCAATGTTTGTTCATTCCCCTCATATCTTTCTCTATTTCTCGGCGTAATGAATTCCTTGGCCTTCCTCTTTTCCTTTTGCCTTGTGGGTTCCATGTGAGGGCTTGTCTTGTGACGCAGTTAGGTGCTTTCCGCAATGTGTGTCCTATCCACTTCCACCGCTTCTTCCTGATTTCCTCATCCACTGGAATCTGACTTGTTCTCTCCCACAGTTCGTTGTTGCTGATGGTGTCTGACCAACGAATCCGAAGTATTTTGTGTAGACAACTGTTAATAAACACTTGTATCTTCTGGATGATGGCTTTGGTAGTTCTCCATGTTTCCGCTCCATACAGTAGAACTGTCTTCACATTTGAATTGAATATCCTGATTTTGGTTTTGTTTGAAAGTTGTTTGGAGTTCCAGATATTTTTCAACTGTAGAAATGCAGCCCTTGCTTTGCCAATCCGTGCCCTCACATCTGCGTCGGATCCACCATGGTTGTCGATGATGCTGCCCTGATATGTAAAGATGTTGACGTCCTCCAAGGGATCTCCATCAAGCGTGATTTGGTTGGTGCAAGTTGTGTTGCATCGGAGAATTTCGCTCTTTCCTTTATGTATGTTGAGACCTACTGCTGCTACACTGGTCGTCTTCTCTTGCATTTGTTGTTGAGTGTGCGATAGAAGAGCCAAGCCATCTGCGAAGTCCAGTTGATACCTATTACTAATTGTACTTGACTTTAATTTTTATTTTTTAGCTCAGCATTAATGTTGCCTGTGCATATGGATTGTAAATTGTCTACCGTTTTTTTGATTGAAGTTTGAATCATAGTATGATTTTAGTTGGGAATTATTATCTGTGTACATTGTTTCATGAATTCATTTTGTTTGATATAAGTTGGTCCGTCTATCCTTATAGTTCTCGGGCTTCATAGTAGATAATACTTTGTCGTAGATAAATCAGTTTGGTCATACAAAAGAATCGTGAATATACTTTGACTTCTTTGCGTTGGAGATGAAATGAGTCTATCAGCTTGAAAGTAAATGATACAAGCCTTGGACCTGCGGATGTTTAAAATACTGAGTAATAACTCTAATATTGATTGTACATCAATTTGAAGTTCTATCATTCATTTAACTAGTCATAAATATGGGATTCCAGTTTAATTATATGTCAGTCGTAAGTAACATTGTGGTGCGCGCTACTTATAAGTAGTATATGACGCGCGACTGAAAACGTAATGTCTGGCAGCAGAAGATGGGGAAAGATCAAGAGAAAGGAAGAGTGGGAACACAATGGAATTTGTATGAAATGCATGAATGAGTGAAATGTCAGACAATGGATTGATGTTTTGCAAATTAACGATTTATGATATGGTTTTCCTATTTTACTGAGTAACTCTTTAATTTGACATAAATACAATTCGGTTGCCCCCACCTGTGTTCTCCTTCACTACAACATGAATACCAGCAAATAAGTAGTTTATTGATTCAAGTACGATGAAATGAAATTCTCTTTACAAATGCTAGAAACTTATTGATAATAGAAAAAATTAGACATAAGCAGCATGATTTAAATATGAAAAATAAATTGATAAAAGTATAAGATAATTTTAAAACTGAGCCATGTTATTTAATGGTCTTCAATCAATTAGTTTACGATTACTGACACATGCCGATTCAATGGTCAA